GCCTTCTCCTTCGCAGTTTCCCACGAAGTCTTCTCTCCTTTCCCTTGGGTCCAACCTTTTCCTTTTCCCTTTTTGTTATTTCCTTTTCCTTTCCCTTTGTTCCTGTTCTCGCTGCCTCCTTCTCCTGCTGGCCACTCGTTCCGCCAACGTCCTCCACGACCTATTCCTGTGTTGCCCCATCCTTGGGTGTTTCCTCCTTGCACCTTCTCGATCAGCTTCGCGTGCTTCCGGGTTGCTAGTATGGTTGCAGCCCCTGCGGCGGAGTTGTCTTCCATCGGATAGATCTCCATGTGCTTTGCCATCCTCCAAGAAGCGTCCACCATCGACTGGTGGATGGCCATGAGTCTCGCCGACAAGGCGTCCCCCACACGGGCGATGTCCCCGCTGCGCAGTAGGTCGATGCACGCTGACAAGTGGTGCAACTCTCGTAACTCGCGGAGATGATTTGGAAAAGCGGTCCTGATGTGGAGGTTGAAGTAAGTCATCACCTTCACTCCCCCCACGGTGTCGTCCTTCCGCGCGACTTCCGTCAGCGCACCTTGGTCCAGCTTCTCCCTGACGTGCGAAACCAACATAGTTAGCACTCCTCCTGGTTGGTCTCGCGTCTTTTTCCGAAGTGGAGCTTCTAGATCGCTTTCGCTGCCCTCCTTCTCTTCGATCGGATCCTCTGCCTCGGAATCGGAATAGCTGCTGCTGGAGGAAACGATCACTCCGTCTTTCAACACCCTCCTTCTCTTCTTCTTCTTCCTCTTCCTCTTCTTCTTGCCTCGGCCGCGACGGTCTCCTCCGCCTCTGTTGGGGTCCTTGTCGTTCTTCCCAACTAGTATCTCGGTAAGGGCAATCCTTAACTTTTCGACGCCATCCTTCTTCGTCTTTCCTCTTCGTCCTTCGGCGTCTTTCCCCGTCCTGTAGTTGTTGACGACTGCTTGACGAAGAAGCTGGCCTCTCCAAGTATTCGAAGTATGCCCTTTTATATCCTCCAACGCTGGCAGGCCTTCCTGCCTTTCCCCTCCTTGACGAAGTGGGGCCCTTTCGGCTCCTCTCCTTTGCTGACGCTTCGGATTCAGATAGATCCCAGTGTTCAGCGTCTCTCCCACTGCAGACTCGTAGTCTCCTTCTGAATTTCCATCCTCCTGGTCCCCACGCGAGCCTTCCTCCGAACCATCCTCGATCTCTTCCACTTCTACGGCTTTCCCTCCTTTCAGCTTCTGCCGGATACCTTCCAGCTTTTTCCTTAGCTCTGCTCGCTCTTCTGGGGAGATTTTGGGGCCACCTTCTGCCCCATCTTCTTTTCTCTTTCCACCAGGCGCTCTGCCACCCTTGCCTTTTAAGTCTTTCTTCTTCGGGCCTTTCCCCTTTGGAGCCGCGGCATTTGACTTCTTTCCTGGAGGCTTTGGATCCTTCTTCGGGGCCGCAGGCTTCACACCTTTGCCACATGCGGGATCCTTCCCGACCTTCGCGTCCTGCTTCACATCTTTGCCAGATGCGGGAACATCCTCGACGTCCGCGTCCTGAGCCTCGTCCATCCATTTGTTGATGGACCGATATCTTCTTTTCACGGTGTACTGGTCGAGTGCCTTGAAAGCCTCCAAATCCCACAGCGTGAGAGAGGTGATGTGCACTACTTTTTCCACCTCTTCGCCAGCCCTCTCCAAAGAGACGCACGGCTCTGCCCGGCAGAGGTGCATAGTGTAACCACCACCATTGAACCGTTCGTCCAGCAGTGCATGTGCTTGAGGTTCTTCTGCTCCGAGATGCCTTACTGTCAAGAGCGCCGATCCGTCCGACCAATGCTTGGTGAGGAGCACCACGAAGGCAGCGTTTGCGGCCTGGTCGCCAGCTCCCAATTGAGATATCGGGACCTCTAGGATCTGGCCTGGGACTGGTGATAACGCAGACCATTCTGCCGGCTCGGAAAGCATGTAGTCAACCCCTGCCATTGCTCACCCTAAACGATCAAGGGCACCTCGTCCAAGGGAACTGGTACCAAGACTCAGCAAGGCTGGTGATGCCTTGCGATGAACTAGCAAGTTTGGATTTTCTGCAAGCCTTGCCAACCGCTGGTGTTTGCGCCCTGCTCTTCGGTATCCGCTGCTCTTCCTCCTCTTGGTCTTTCCTTCCTCTCTCTTCTCACCCCCAACCGAGGCACGGCGAATGCCAGCCCGGGGTCCAGCTTCTCCTCCTTGACTGTGATCCTTCCGGGAAATCCTCCTCGGAGATCGGGCTTTCGTCTTTGGAGTAGCTGTTCTTAGAACCTTGTCGTTCTCAGACTGGTCTTCTTCTTCTTCCTCCTCTTCCTCGTCCTCCGAATAATGACTGGATTCACTTGTTTCCTCCTTCACCTCACCTGCTTCTCGACTTCGATGATGAGGACGACGTTCGAGGGGTTCTCGACGATCCACACCGGGGCTTGGGCCGCACTTTCCCGAAGGTGTACGGTCAGCACGGCTTTCACCAGCTCGGCCACTCCCAGTCCGAATCAGGCCAGAGCTCAAGGACCTGACCGCACGGACTTGCCTCACGCAGCTAACGGCCAAATCGTTTGCCAGCTGCCAAGCTCCAGCGGAATCCCAGTGTCCACTCAACTCGCGGCCCAAGCTTTCCCAGGCGGTGCAACCAATGCACCACGAGTCCCCCTCTAGTGCCACACAGCCACGACACTTGGCACACTGAGGGGGAGGCATGAACCACGCCGATTCAAAAGGACCCTTTTGAGAGGAAAGGCGCGGAGCACGCACACTTCAGCCTAACTTTCTACAAGAACATCAAGGTAGATAGAAAGGTAGATGGATAGACAAATAGAAAGATAGATAGATAGATAGATAGATAGATAGATAAATAGATAGAGAGGTAGATAGCTAGATAGATAGACAGATAGAGGGATAGAGAGATAGATAGGTAGAAAGAAAGAGAGATAGAGAGATAGGTAGATATGGAGACAGAGAGATAGAGAGATAGATAGATAGGTAGAGAAGGTAGATAGGGAGATAGATAGGTAGATAAGCAGATAGATAGCTAACACGAGAGATAGATAGATAGATAGATAGGTAGTTAGGTAGATAGATAGGTAGAGAAAGGTAGATAGATAGATAGATAGATAGACAGATAGATAGACAGAGAAGAGACAAAAGAAAGAACAGCACAAAAACAAGCAAACGAAAGAAAGAAAGAAAAGACAGATAGAAAGAAGGAACGAAGGGAGGAAGGAAGGAAAGAAAGGAAGAAAGGAAGAATGACGGAAAAAAAAAGAAACAATGAAAAGGAAGAAGAAGAGAAAAAGAGTCAAGAAAAGAAAGAGAAAGATAACTATAGTTTTTCATATTTTTGAAACTTCCGCCCACCGGCTTCGCCGGCTCTACTGGTAATAGAACCCTCCAGCAGAAGGTGAGACATCCCCTTTGTTTCGTTTCAGGGAGGCAGGCTAGGCAGGGAGACCCCAATACTATGAACCTCAGACCCTACTACTAAAACCCTCCAGCAGCTTCGTTTCAGGGAGGCAGGCCAGGCAGGGAGACCCTTCTACTAAGAACCTCAAACCCTAATACTAAAACCCTCCAGCACAAGGTGAGGAATCCCCTTGGTTCGTTGCACGGAGGCAGGCCAGGCAGATTCAGCATGAGCCCTTGGTTTCCCTTTTCTAGAAAAAGCCCCCAACCAATAAATATGGTTTGAAGGATTGAAGGTGCAAAAAGGGTTTCCCTATTATATTAGGGCTGGATTTTGGCATGGGCGGGGAAATACCTATTTTAGAATCGGTTTAGCATTTGCTATTCTAAAGGTAGTATTCCCGGATTTGGGGTTTTCAAAAATCGGTTTTAGTATTAGGGGAACGTTTAGCATTAGGGAGAAAGGAGTAGTGAAAGAGTACGTTTACAAGGTCCTGCGCAAACCTTTTGCAGAGGCTCTTACAAAGGATCCGTATAGATGGTCCTGCGCAAGATCTCTTGGGATAACATCTTTAGAAGGTACTCACGGGTCCTGCGCAAGTTCTCTCACAGGGATGTCGTTTACAAGGTTCTTGGAAGAATCTCAACAAAGGATCACCCGCAGCAACTCTTCGAGACAATCTATAATATAAAGGCCCTGCGCAATGTCGCTTCCGAGCACCCTCAGCTGCTGAGCAAGATCTTGCGCAGGACCCCTACAGAGCATCTGCGCGCAAGGTCTCTTGGGAGGAGCGCTGTACCTTGCGCAAGATCTGGCGCGCGCGCACATCTTTTGCTAGCAGTGAGGGATCGATGTAGGACCTCCAACATTGCCACGCACAAAGAAGAAACACGCTCCCCAGAAAAGGACGACATTGAGTGACCTTTAATGGGTATTAATGGAACGTTCATCACAAATTAATGGACAATCAGTAGACATTTACTGGGTATTTATCTAACATATATTTTCTGGTAGAGTTCCCCACATTTGGCACACGGACCTGAATAGTTATCCCCCGCATTTGTGTATATAATTCCTTTAAACAACAGGTGAGCAAAATAAACAAGCCGATGGCGGCGCCAAGACATTTATTGTAAATTTAACGCTCCGAGAGCTTGAGCAAGTATAAGCGCGCTTGCGCACACGCGTAAGCATCCATACTCCTGAAAACTCAGGGTCCGATCACTTGCGTGCCTTCAAACCCTTGAACCAACTTGAACTCTCTCTTTTCCATAACTTCCACAAGGAAAGTATCGTCCTAACCTTGTAAGTCCATCATAACCTCGCAATCATCTAGTTCCAAGGTGTATATTACAACTTCCACAACTAGAACGCGCCCTTAAGTGTTCGCAGCGAGAGCGATTCGACACGCCCAAAGTCTGTTTGCACAAATCGCGCAGCACAACGAAAGAGCGCACGAGCCACACGAACCGAAGGCCACGAGAGCCCAAGGACACCCGATTACGCTTCTAGAACCCCTAGGACCCCTTGGTGTTTACACGCACTGTGTGGGGGAAAAAAGCAAGCGCAAAAGTACAGGCGGCACACGCTGTGTCAGTCTCCGAGCTCCGAGCAATATGATCCAGCAGGCAAACTTTCTGACCTGGTGCTGCGCTCTCCACCTTGCAAGAAATGAGATGACAGCGGTTAGGGCAGAAGAAAGTGCCACACTTCGCTTGCGGCTAGACGAATGTCCATTGGCATTCGCTGCAAAAGTTCAACCTGGCAAGCAATGAGTCGGATTGTGTACTCGGTTGGACTCTCTGATCGCTGGCATACACACGTCAGAACACATGCATCCTCTTTTCTTTGTCCAGCTGTACAAAACACAACATCCATTCATTCACTCCTGCCTGCATTTCTGCAGCCAGCTCCTCCTCTGCAAGTTCTACTTCGAATTCCTGAGCAATTGCTTGTTTAGATTCGAATCATGCGAGCACCGAAGCAGGCATCGAAAAGGCCGCAGCGTCGCAAGCACCAGTGCTGCCACAGCTGATCCCCAGCCTTTGCGCAGGATTGACTGCAACGGCCAGTGATTCAACGGCTAGGAATTGCAGCTCCCGCTGTGTATGATTTCCATTTGACTTGTGCTGGCCACAGTGTAGGAACCTGAATTACTGAGTACAGAAGGCAACTATCTTCTCTTGACAAGTGCCCTCGCAGGAATATGCCTTTCTTGAGACGTAGGAAGCTTGACTAGCCTGAAGTGCCTGGGCAAATCACGCTGACAGTACCTGTGGAGAAAAATGGGCAGCAATCTATCATTTGATTGCCCTGGTTGACAATGCGCAGCTGCCAACACTGTTGAACACACCGCCACGATCCGTAGAAAGCAAGCACGCAAGCCTGACTTCTTTCGCAGTTGGGGTCAGAGCATGTAGAGAATTCATGTGTATTGCCTGCCCAGGAAGGAACAACATCCACAAACGGAACAGCTTGAAACTGAATTTAAACTGCTACAGCGTCAATAGGAAAAGGCATTGGACATAAACAACACACATTCAACTTACATGCCACTGGGGTATGTCGTGCTTGAAGTCTCATCATCGTCAAGTCAGATGAAGTTGCAGTGTCTAGTTTGCGTGCACAATACCGCGTTGAACCTGTACTAGGGCCATCCAGCCAAGATGACCAGTTTGACGATCGTTGCGCACGCTACTGTGCAAAAAATACACATCTGTCCCAAGTCACAATCAAAGTGCTGTCAGAGAAACAAATCAATTCTTTGACCATCTGCACCACCCTGCCGTTCACAGGGATCGAACTCTCCTACATGAGAAGTAAAGCGGCCACTCCTCGGGTAAGGCTTCCGCTGACTCTTCCTTCCAAATGACAACGAGAGCAGTGTAGTAGACAGCAGTATTCCTGGACTGTGCCGTAAGCAACTATTCTGTGCTTCTGTTCTAACAACTGCTCCAATCTCATGCTTTGTTCATGCTGATGGAACAAACCCCTCTTCATGCTTGATTGCGCACATCATTGCAACTGAATGCTCCCCATAGAATAAATGTGGGTGGCTGGTAAAGGAAGCTACTGGCCACATGACAGGTACATCGCTCAATTCATTGCGGTACCTGCGACCACACAAGCTCTGAGGCTGCCACTGAAAAGGGTCATGGAGAACACGTAGATCCTGGGTTCATGCTGCAAACACCTTTGGATTCTGTTGGTTTACATGAAAGCTGCTGCATGCTGGAAACCAACATCCAGCCTGCCCAGCAAAGCAGGCGTAAAAGTTGGAACGTACAGTCCCGCCTCAGTGCATGAATATTTCATTCAACATAAACATGACATTGGAACAGTAGGTTGCAGGTAGAAAACGTTGCAAAATTCCACAACTCATTCAAAATAGTCTCAGCCAGAGCCACCGAGGTGTTCCAGCGGGCACTTTCCACTTGGGCCGAAATGTCACAATGCAAGAAGGTCGGTGTGCGATCTCACCATCTACAAGCACAAAGCGCCTACAACACACAATCTTTTATATTGATGGCGAGCGCGAACGACTTGCACTACTTGGCACCAAACTCAACGCGCGACACTTTGAATCCCGCTTGTCCAAGTGATAGAGCGAAGTGCCCGCGATCTGCGCATAATCCTGCTCAAAGCACGCTCTTTACGTGTGTTCCTTTTCATCGCTCGCTTGCTTGTTGGTGGTTGTTTTAGCGGTGACCTTCCTTCGCCTTGTCCGTTGTCGTTGAGGGGATTACCCGGTTGCCTTGTCCGGTTGGTTGTACTGGTGTCCTTGTCCTGCTTTGTGGTTGTGGTTGCCGCAGCCACTGTAGCGTTTTCCTTTGTGCACATGGACAGTTGTCATTGAAGTCATTGCAGTTTCCCGACGCAAGCAATCACAATGCTCTGCAGACGGTGAGTATCACAATATGAAGAACTCCTCAGCCGCAGGTGTCGCTCCATTTAAATCATTTGTGCTGCCGGACATACCCACGTTCCTGTATCGCCCTAGCATTGACATGATTTGATGACAAAGCTTACGACAAAGCTTACCCAACCACAGCTGCACGCTTAGCACAACGCTTCAATGATTCTCCATCTAGCATACCTCTCGTGATACATGGCAAGAGCCTGAGCATGCCATACTGCAATCAGAACTGCATGGAAACTTATGGTCAGTCTGGTCACTGCGCCCTCATTGAGGGTAAATTTATTAGACTGTGGCATTGCAGAACCTCAACCGTGGAGAAACCTCTTTTCACTGCCTCTCCGCGCATCACAACTTGACCAGATTCATGATTCAGAGGTGCACCAAGGGTCGAGGGCATGGTGGTGTTTGCACAGCTTCAACTGGGCGGTTTGGGCACAAGTTCCTTTGTGGCCACTGAGGCAAATGGCCAGACTTTGGTCTTTGTGAAGTAACAGCATTCGAAATGTTCTGATTGTTCGGATTGCTCTTCTCACTAAGTTGCGGCGTCGAGTAGGATCTAAAAACCAGCTGAACTCCACCTCTGGCACCAGGAGCAGCAAGCATAGGTGAACCAGGTGATATTGGGCTGGACCAACATGGAGAAATGTCCACACCAGCAGGGGGGGACATTGCTGCGTGGTTGGCGCGGGCTGCGTACTGCGCCAGCGCCGCAACAGTTTGCCCTGAAAGTTTCTCCAGGCTTGCAAGCTCACGCCTCAAGTTGCTGCTGACGCGCTCCCTCTCTTGAACTGAAGACTCCAAGGATTTCCAAGAAATATCGACATCGACATTCTGAGACATGTTGCAGACAAAGCAGCATTGCCACCACTCCTAGTGAAGCTCTGGTAAGGCGAGTCTTTTCTACAACTGGATTGCTTGATGTCTTGCTAACATGTGCTTGACGCGGCGTGGATGTTGTCCATCAATTGGCCAGGACGACTATCCCTGCATTGGTCTTTCCAACATGCTGTGTATTCCTCGACACTGCTGAACCGCCGCAGCCGCAGATGGACGCGCTGGGTGCAGCTGTCATTGGTGTCAACGATTCCGTCACCACGCCCAAAAAGCCAGGAGCACAGCACCCGTTTCCACTGGGCTTTTTCGGGTCACAGGCGTGATTCCGTGACTCCTCTCAGACATGGGTGATACGTGCACGCCACTCCGCACCCATGGCTTGCGCTGGCTCAGCGCAGGCTAAGGAGGATGACTAAAGCAATGAGATGGCACACCTTCGATGTACCATCCATGGGTTGCAATGCAGCATCCCGTGTTAAAAGCAAAGGGTGCAGGTCGGTGCAAGATTAAAGGCGAGTGAGCGAAACGAAAGATTTCGCTTGGCCTTCATTAGGTGCGGTCTGCTGTCTTCGCGAAAAGCTCACCTAATGGCTCCTGGATGCGGTGAGCTCAAAAATGGGCCATTACTTGTGAACCATCCTGGAGCCATCAGTTTGGCATGAGCAAAGACAGCAACGCTCAGTGTGGCCTGCAGCATTCCGGTGACTGAACTCACTGTCAGCCATCAACCGAAGAAATTGGTGAGACATCATCCGATCTTCGACGAGGATGCCAGCACCTGGTACACGAGACCAAACGCAAAGGAGACCCGCACCGGTGATATTCTGCTCAGATTGCCCTCTGGGACCAAGCACCGTCTGCCCTTACAGACCGCAATTCAGTGTCCCTGCCAACAGGCACAGTCAAATTGAAGACACCCACTGGCGTCTTTTTGTCTGCAATGCGTTGAGTAAAAACACACGCGCACACACACACACACACACACGCGTATTGCATGCCTTCAACTTTCCTCAGCTTTTTTGGAACCTCGCTCTTTTGCCCGGCGCTTCTTTTCGCCTGTCAATTGTTTCCATAGAATCAACCACGTGTCATGAGGCCATGTGCCTGGTGGACAGAGGTGGCAAAATGTACAAAGTGCTCCGCTCTCGCATCCCTGGCAATCGTCTTGCATGACTGCCAAGGTCTGACAGCCACTCCGCCTTCTTGAAGATGAAAGCGCACGGCCTGCATGTACCATCGTCATGGCCAGCTGACCCAACCTTGGGTGAGGGGAACACAAATCAAATGAAGACTCCCAAGCCGCGTTGAGATGCATTGAGGTACTTAGATACCAGCTGAAGCAATGGAAGCAATGTTCACCTTGTCCGACTTGGCGCTATCCTGTGATAACGGTTTGCACTTCTAAGTCTCCTCACCCTTGTGCACTACACATCCTTGGATCGCTGCCCTCTGAACTGTAAAGAAAAACGACAGTTGCGCCAGCTGGCCTTGGGAAGGTCACAGGCCACAGAAGGAGCTTGCATAGGTGGTGGTGGGGCACTGACCTGCAGAGCATCTTCAGCAGCTGTCTCTGAACGATAAAGTCGGTAACGCAGTTTGCATGAATCGAATGCATTGCTTGAGGGCCTGCCTCCGCGAACGGCGGGGCCTGCAGTTGCGGCGGTGCGACTGCAGGTGCAGCCACTCGCGGAATGGAGAGAGAGGTGGTAGGGGAATTCGCCTCAGACGAGCGACAAGCGGCGACACCTTGGCTCTGACATGCACTAAGAATGTCACAGGCGAGTACACAAGTCCGGGTCTTTGAGCCCCGTATGGAAACCTCGGCATGGCAAACAACACGAGCACAAAATGGCCCATCTGCATGAGTACACCAGGAAGGGTTAGCCTTAGTTTGGGTTCAGTTGTACTTTTATTTGGCTAGGCTTTACTATGGCTTCAAAATGCAAACCCATGACAGAAGCGTCCAAAGCTTCAAAAGCCACAAAAACCACAAAAGGCGAAAGCCAAAAGCCTTAAAACTTGAACATGCCCTCCATTTGAAATCAAAGGCTCAATAAAAGCTTGGTTTATCAGGCCATATATTGAAATGCTTGTCAAAACAAAGCTTGAAACCCAATCGTGAGACAAATGTTTGAAGGAATGGGGACAAGCATGCCGAAGCCAAAGTGGCATTGGCATCCACGGAAAAGTGGTCAATGGCGCTTGCGAGGGCACCACATAAACCTGCGGCTGGAACTCACACTGAATCGATGCGGTGGCTTAGCTTCACTGAGAGCAAATGGAATTGTGGTTGCATGTCTCGAGTTTGTTCCCCAATTCATAGCGAAAGGAAATCCTGCATGCAAACAGGCAAACAGGGCAAACGGGGCAGTCGAGCAAGCGAGATGCTCAACAAACACAAAACGTCTTTTGACGGGTTTCAGCCGAACAGTATTTGAATCAACGTCGGCACCGTGCTGGGTTACAGTCAACCAATCAACATGATGACGAACTTCATGTTCAACAGGCACCTAGTGGTATTTTCTTCAGCTCGAATGAAACTACCAATGCATGTGCAATGATTCGCTGCCATGCACAAACGACTCCGGCCGCCTGGGACTGGACAGCACCCCTTGCTTGGACAGCGCCACATATTGGCTGGCTGGCTGCGCGCTGCGGAACATCCTGGATGCTCACCGTGCTCTCCTTCTCTCGCTCTCTCTCTCTCTCTCTCTCTCTCCCTCTCTCTCTGTCTCTTTGTATTTTCCTTCTTGCTTGTGCAATTCATGTTGTGTGCTGCCTTTCTGTTATTTCGTTGTCTTTTTCTTGCTTTTTCGGTATGTCTTTGCTGTTTTCGTTTCCTGCTGTTTATTCTCTGTGATGTTCTGTTCATGTGTCGTTCTGCTTTCTCTTGGCTTGTTTTTCCTCTCTTTATTGCGCAATGTCTCTTTGTGTTTATTAGAATTTGTGTTATCTTACTTTCTTTCTGTCATTGCTTGTTTTGTTATTATTTGCTCTATTCTCCTATGTAAAACTATGTATTTGTGAAAGATGTCCTGTGTTTTACTGCGCTTGCTTCTTTCTTCTAATTTCCTCTATGTCCTTCTGTCTTTCCTTCCTTCCTTCCTTTCTTGCTTTCTTTCTTTGTTTCTTTTATTCTCCTTTTTTTCCTTTCTTTTGTTTTCCTTTCTTTCCTTTCCTTTTCTTTCCCTTTCTTTCCTATCCTTTCCTAGCCTTCTTTCCTTCTTTCCCTGTTTCCTTGTTTCCTTGTTTCCTTCTTTCCTTCTTTCCTTCTTTCCTTCTTTCCTTCTTTCCTTCTTTCCTTCTTTCCTTTCCTTTTTTCCTTCTTCCTTTCTTTCTTTCTTTCGTTCTTTCTTTCTTTCGTTCTTTTCGTTTCGTTTCTTTTCTGTTCTTTTCTTTTCTTTCTTTCTTTCTTTTCATGTCTGTTCATCTCTTTTCTTTCCTTCTTTCTTTCTTTTCTTTCGTTCTTTCTTCCTCGCTTTCTTTCTTTGTTTCTTTGTTTCTTTGTTTCTTTGTTCTTTGTTTCTTTGTTTCTGTCTTTCTTTCTTTCTTTCTTTCTTTCTTTATTTCTTTCTTTGTGTTTGTTCTGTGTGTTGTTCTGTCTTTAGTTGTCTTATCCTCTTTCTTTTTGTCTTTATGTCCTTCTTGTTTTCTTTTTGCGTCTTTTCTTTCTGTTGTTCTTTCTCTCTTTCTGCTTTTGTTTCTTTTGTTCTTTCTTCCTTTCCTTCTTTACTTTTCTTCTTTCGCCTTACGTTCTCTTGTGTACTTTTCTTTGCTTCGTCTTGTTTTGTTTCATTGTTATTGTTTTCACGTTTCCTTGTGTTCTCTGTCCGCCGTGTTTATCTCCTTTCCTCTTTCCTGCATTGATTTGTACATCTGTGTGTAACGTTGGTTTTTGCATTGCCGTTCTCTTTCTTTCGTTTCTCTTTGCCTCCTTCCTTCTTTCCTTGCTTCTTTCTCTATGTCTGTCGTTCTTTCATTTCTTTCTGACTTCTTGCTTTTGCCATGTTCTGTTGTTATTTTTCTTCTGTTTCACGTCTTTTCAACTGTGTCTCATGTTCAGTTGGCTTGTGTTTTGCCATGTCTTTCTTTCTGTGTGGCGGTCTGCTGATGCTTTGCGCGGGCGTTATTCCCGCAAAACAATAACAGCCTCTTATCGTCTACAGCAGCGTGTTGCTCAACGAAAACACAACACTCTCAAGAACGCAAATACCGCGATTCTTCCTGAACCTACGACAACGTAGGTCTTTCGCGCCCTGCTTTTCGCCATTGCAAAAGCAACAAAAGCAGAGAGAAAATTATCACGGACGATTCCTTGGTCGTTTGTTTGTTGTGTCATTGTTTCATTGGTTGCTCGCCTGCTTGCGTGCGGAAAACGGGCGGGCCGGCGGGCCGGCATGCGGGCGTTCGGGCGGGCGTGGGGGAATGGGCGCATGCGCGCGCGCGTGTTGCGCGCGCTTGCGCTTGCTTGCTTCCTTGCTCGCTTGCCTGCCTGTCTGCCTGCCTGCCTGCTTGCTTGCCTGCCTGCCTGCCTGCCTGCCTGCTTGCTCGCTCGCTCGCTCGCTTGCTTGCTTGCTTTCGTTCACCCTTGTGTCCTTGCTACTTCCCTGCTTGTTTGCTTGCTTGCTTGAGCTCACGCGTCCTGATGCCCCTGCTTGTTTGCTTGCTTGCTTGCTTGCTTGCTTGCTTCCTTGCTGGCTGGCTGGCTGGCTGGTTTGCTTGCTTGCTTGTTTGGTGTTTGTTTGCTTGCTTGCTTGTGCATTTGCGTTCGTTTGTGTTGCTTGTTTGTTTGCTTGCTTGCTTGCTTGCTTGCTCGCTTGCTTGCTGGCTGGCTTGCTGGTTGGCTGGCCTGCCTGCCTGCCTGCCTGCCTGCCTGCCTGCCTGCCTGCCTGCCTGCCTGCCTGCCTGCCTGCCTGCCTGCCTGCCTGCCTGCGCTTGTTTGTTGTTTTTTTGGTTGGTTCGTTCGTTCAATCGATCGTTCATTCGCTCGTTCGTTCTTTTGTTTGTTTGCTTGTTTGCCTGCTTGCTTGTTTGCTTGTTTGTGTGTTTGTGTTGTCTGCAACTGTTTCTTTGTGCTTGTTTGCTCGCTTGTTTGTTTGATTGATTGTTTGTTTGTTTGTCTCATCAGAATGCGTGCTAGAAGCTAGAAGGCACTGATGTCAAACTCGGTGTGCGAGGAACTGGCGGCCGCTCATTTTACCTGCACAAAACGGTGACTGGCTCATGTGGCCAGCTTGGGCCCAAAAAGGACATGCGATCCTGAGGGCGCATGTCGAAGTGCACTCTTCACACTGGTCTTTGTTCTAAAGGCGCGCTCAGGCGTGGTTCACCTTGGGCTTTGCAGTCTTGTCGGATTCCTCCCGCAGCTGGCACCAGAATTTGCTGGCACCAGGGTTTGCTCTGCCACTTCCTCATCGCATGCTGGAGGTTGGGGTCGTACTTGGTGAGGCAGTCAGCGTGTGTGAGTTCTCTGCCACCAAAAAGTCGTACAAGGGCTTCGCGTCAGTTGCCTGACGCATCTGCATCTTCATTTCTGCGCGACGCCCGGCACTGCCATGGAAGATCTCTGTCTAAGAAATAGTTGACGTCGGCCGCCTCGTCGCCGGCGCAAGCTTCTGCGGCCAATGCGCTGCTGCACACCTGCCTGACTTCCAGTCCACCAGGAAGGCCGAGCATGCCTTCTCAGACACCTGCGCGTCCGTACGGGAGGAATGGTTGGGCGTTGAGCTCAACGGCCGGGAAGCGGATGGTCGTTGGGGGTGTCCTTGATAGCTGACAAATTCGTTCAGCCGCTTGAAGGTCGTGGGTGTCAGCGTCGTTTTCTGGGTGGCTCAAGCTAGCCGCCAAAGCCACGTCTGGTCGTGTCTGTCCGCCCAGCCACTGCAGGGAGCCGCAGACTGATTTGCTCAGCTTGGGGTCCTTCTTCAACCGGCCAATGGGCAGCTTGCCGCCGGTCCTGTTCTCGACGAACTTCTTCTGTGTCACGCGGTAGGCGAACTTGCCGTTCTCTGCGATCATCTTGATCTGTTTGCCGCGGTGCCCCCCATGTAGATTCTCAAAGAGGCGCTTGGCGCGTACTTCACCTACATGGTTTCCACCCCAGTCAACAGCGCCAATATCAACGTGTTTGCTGACTACTTGGTACTTGATACAGATGCGAACGGTCCTGTTGTAGTACCACATGGTTGGAAGCACGCAAGGAACGCCTCCACGGAGCCAGTCCGGGGACCCTTTGAGTTTGGACACGGCCCCACACAGTACAGCAACGAGCGTGCCAAGATCCCCGCCTGTACCCCAACAGCCTCACGATCCTCGGCGCACCCCGCTTGGGCAGCCACAACCTTCTCACGAGCAAGCTGCAGATGGTGTTGAACCTGCCCCAGAAGGAAGCGTGTTTGGGTTTGCTCTTCAGGTGACTCGATGTGTTCGGTCACATAGGTCTTCTTCACAAAGGGCATTGCTGGTTGAGATCTTTCTTGCCGTTGTTCTTGAATCCGCGGTCTCCAGAGGTTGCTCCACGCCCTTTTCCTTCGCCGCCTTGTTGCACAGCTTGGCACGCTCCAGGATCGCCTCCCTTGCCATAGCAGGCTCCCGAACGTAGATCATTGCTGGGATTGGTCTGCGCTCCGCAAACTGCAGCTACGCGGCTTCTCGGATATGGTCGAAATTCAAGGACTGGGTGGAACTTACCAGTATCAGGCGTTGTTGTTCTAGACTAAGGCGCATGCGATCAAGTAGACCGTCAGCTGGCCGAGGGCCTTGAGAATCCGCTGGTACAGCCGCGTCTCGCCGTAGTGCTCGACGTGTGCTTCTGCTCGATCGCGCGCTTGCTCTTTGGGCTCATGCTCTGGATCTCCACCAGGCCCTGCCGGAATGGCGGTCCTGGGAGCTGCCGGGGTCCGGGGTTCTGCGAATGTTCGCAGAACTCAGCCCGGGGTTCGGCGCGTAATTCCAACTGCCGAGGGGCGTGCTGAAGCTGGCGGCGTAGGCCGCGTTGTAGAAGCGCCTGCCGCCGCAGTCCACGCAATCTCCTGCCAGGTTCCGGCGCCAAGTGCTGCTGGCACTGGCGGCCCCAGCGGGCTCCAGAGGCGGCATCTCAGCAGTGTCATTGCTGGTGTCATCGCCTGTGTTTCCGCCGTTCACAAAATTCCACTCTTCTTCGTTTGTCCGCGACTGAGGGCTCTGGTCGGCTCCGCTGCCAACTCATCAGAATGCGTGCTAGCACTGATGTCAGACTCGGTGTGTGAGGAACTGGCGGCCGCTCATTTTACCTGCACAAAACGGTGATTGGCTCATGTGGCCAGCTTGGGCCCAAAATGGGCATGCGATCCATTGAAGTATTCACCTGAGGGCGCATGTCGAAGTGCAATCTTCACAGTTTGTTTGTTTGTCTGTCTGTCTGATTGATTGATTGATTGATTGATTGATTGATTGATTGATTGATTGATTGATTGATTGATTGATTGGTTGCTCATTTCCTTGCTTGCTCGCTTGCCTGCCTGCGCGCTTGTTTGTGCGTTTCTGCATTTGTTTGTTTGCGGTTGTTTGTGTTTGTTTGTTTTGCTTGTTTGTGCGCGCGGTTGTGTCTTTGTGTGTTTGTGTGTTTATGTATGTGTGTCTGTGTGATTGCGTGATTGTGAGTTTAAGTGTTTGTGTTTGTGAATTTATGTGCAGGGCGCGGTCGCACTTTTAGCAAGATTGACGGTGCTCGGGGACATGCAGTCTGGGGTGCTGGTGCAGGCGCTGTTTTGGGATGCTGTCTTGGGTGTGTGCGAACGCATTTTTGCGAGATCGACGGCTGGGTGGTCTGGGTGCTGGTCGAGGCTGCTGCTTGGGGTGCTGGCGCGGGCGCACTTGTGCGATTGATGGCAGGGTGCTAGGGAGAATGAGTTTGGGGTGCTGTTTGCATGCTGTTTGGGGTGTTGGTTGAGGCGCTTTTCAGACAGGGCTGCCAGAGGTGCTGGCGTGCAATCGTTGGCGAGTGTTTCGCTATCTGGGGTCCCTGTATTGTTTGTTTGGTTGTTTGTTCCCCAGATAGCTGAAGGCTTGGGGTTCTATCTTCTACAAGGGGAAGTGATTTTCGATATTGATGGCTGGGTGCTAGGGGGCATGCAGATTGGGTTACTGGTGCGAGTGCTGTTTTGGGGCGCTGGTGCAGTGCGGCCGCATTTACTGCCCGGGTGCTACGGGGCATGCAGTGTGCTTGTGCAGGTGCATGTTTTTCGCTATCTGGGGTCTATGCTGGTTTAATTTGTTTGACTGCTCGTTTGCTTGCTTGCTCGCTCGCCTGCCTGCCTGGCTGTTTGTACGTTTGTGTTTGATAGTTTGTTTGTGTTGTATTTATTTTGTTAGTTTGTGTGTGTGTGCGTTTGCGTGTCGTGTGTTTGTGTGTTTGTGTGTGTTATGTTTGTGTGTTTGTGTGATTGCGTGATTGCGTGATTGTGTGTTTACGTGTTTGTGTGTTTGTTGCGCGAGATCGTTCGTTCGTTCATTCATTTGTTCGTTTGTTCGTTGGTGCTTGCGAGCTTGCTTGCTTTTTTTTGTTTGCCTGATTGCTTGCTTGTTTGCTTCCTTGCTGGCTTCCTTGCTTGCTTGTTTGGTGTGTTTGTGTGTGTGTGTGTGCGTTGTGCGGCTGTTTGCAAATTGCCTAGATGTCTTGAAACACACAACAGCAGCTGCACAGTTCCCACCAGTCAGTCACCAGATTCAGTCGTGGTGCGTTCTTGCACGCCAGCAGGAGGTGTGTGAAGCTGCTTGCCCTTGACTCTGCCACGTTCAATGTATTTCTTGTGTCCGGCTCATTTGGTGTTGGCAAGTGCTAACGTCTGCCCAGAGAATCTATTCTCCTGGCAGGGCAGTGATTGGCTATGAATTTCACGCACCGGGCAGGCTACACATGCGAGCGCAGAGTGCAAAGTCGGCTGCAAACGAACAAGTGAACCAAACCAGAAAGGGCACGATAACCAAGCTTACCTACTAGCTCAGCTCTCTTAAACAATATTACACAGAGAGTACACGTTACTTGGTCCTGAACCAGCGCCGGATGCGGCTGATGGTGCTCCCCAACCTGCTTGGGCCAAAGCTTGGCAATTCACTCATCTCAGGCTCGAAGCCTCGGATGTTTTGCAAGGCTCTTGGCAAGCTGGTGTTGCTGGTGTAGGGAGAAAGGCCTCGATCGAAAGCACAGTGAACACTTCAAGGCTTTTATTCCCACCTCCGAGGTCATACTCGATACACCTAGAAGCGAAAGAAGCGAAAGAAACATGTCTCAACTGCTCTTTGCAGTCTCTGGCCGTCTTGCTCTGCAGCTCCAAGTCGGCTTGCAGGGCAGGAGTGAATCTGACAGGCCCCAGTCAGATGTGGGTAAACAAAAGTCGGAAGAGTACTTCATGCAAAAGACCATCATGGTTCTTGCATAAAATTACGTATGCTGCTTGACTTGTGCACTTTCAGGACGTTGTCCCCACTGCGCCTGGCGTTCTGCCCAAAATTCGGCCAAAGATCCCTGAGCGCTATCCTGTCTGCAAGCTCAGTCAAAAGTGTTGCAAGCAGAGATTGAGTCCTTCATCTCCCAAAAGGTGTTGCGCACGCACATGTTGTACTGCTCAGGCAATCCAGCCTGGAGTCTCGCACGTAAGCAAGTGATAAATCGAAGAACAAGACCCACACAGCGTCACGCACCACGATCAAGGGAGCTGGGTAGTCCATGTCAGGGATGCCCTTCACACGGTGTTTCCATGATGTCTGCAAAAGCAGTGCCGTGTCAATCTTGTTCAATGGGTCCTGATGGCCGCTTTTTTCATCCTGCCGCAGGCAGGGCTGGCACAACGCTTCCTTGCCCCACAGCTCCCGTCCTGCTTGGGCGACCCCTCGAGCCCAATGGGTGTGGCTCCAGCAGATCCTGCCGGCTCAGTTCAGGCCAAGTCTAAGGCCAAACATAATCTAGTCTCAAGCAATCTTAACAAGTTTGTTGATAAGTACAACAATCATCTTCTGCAGCGTGCGCTGCCTGAGCCGGAACCACATTGAGTACTGGCAATAGAGGAGCTCCTGCACGCGGCACAACTGCACACACCTTTGCATCAGGCAAAAAGCAACTTGGCAAACTCACTAGCTCCTCGACAAGCTCGGGAAGTCTGGAAGCTTGGCCAGGTCTGGATGCTCGTAGCTAATCAGCAGCGGAGACTGCATCAGCACCTGCACCGGAAACAGCTTGAGAATCCAAGCATAGAATTTGATCCATTACTGGTGTTACTGGTGTGCTCATGCCACGCATACGATTACGCCTGCTTCCACTACGCTCGAAAGTGGGGACTGCGGTAGTAGAGCCGCTCTGCCACCAGTGCAACAAGCCAGTTTCAAGATTCCAACATGAAAAATGTGCACTGGCTGTGCTTGGAATAAACACACATCTCCTCAGCACACAGCCACATTGCATTGGTTGCATCCAAGTCCATGCTCACAATCACTGATGTGCGTCCAGCATTTATTTCGGTAACACACATCTCAGTAGTCGCTTCATCGATGGAACGGCAAACGAAGTGGGTGGATTCTCTCAAGGGGGATCAACTGGCAAACATCAAACAGCACAAACTAGGAAATTCAAAGTGATGAATAACCTTCCCACATCGCTGGAACATGAGGCCAGCCTGTATAAAGCGCCTCTGGGCACAGCCTGCTGTTTAACTGCAGACGTATACCGCAGAAGTTCCCCTGCTACCGTGTTTGCTTACACTTGTTGCAATTGCAAAAAGCGCGCAATCGGCGTCAAAGACTTTGGAGAACGCTCTTGTGCACCGGCTGGGCGCCGAAGTGCCATTCCTCAACAGCTCGCATCTCAACGTAATGTGAAATAGTTCGTAATCACAGGCTGTTGCCTTTCTTAGTCACCGGCCCATTGCTGATCTCCGCCTGGAAAGCATATCTTCTTAACCATTCAAGCGGTACACATGCTATTGCACAGCGCGCATCCCGCCTCCCGGGATCTTGCCAGAGCATCTAGTGTCTATAATGCAAGAGTGACGCAACCGGAGGCTGGATGTGACAAAGCTGCGTCCTCAGGACACTTGTCGATCGTGGTCGAAGGACAGGATTGGGAGATATTTATAGTGAGCACCATGCAGAGTGCAGCAACCCACACTGCATCGAATTCGTTGGTTGCAAGCAACACAACATTCATTGCAAAGCTTGAAATCAATAAAAGCAGGATTGCAACCAGCTGAACCATTGCGCTCCACTAAGCCTGAACACTCAACAGGCGTGTTGTCAAAGATGTCTTGTGCTTCAGGTTTAGGGCCCTCGCAAAACAACCCGCTGTTCCAATTTGCACTACTTGGCATTGGACAGCAGGCAAAACCACATGCTTGACACGAATGGCAAGGCAGTGGTGTTCCACGCCTGCCCGGATGGCTTTCAAGGAACCAAGGCTCCCCCTGCGCTGAGTTTTAACTGCCTTTCGGGCAGTCAGTTGCGCAGGAGGCCCTTCACCTTCAATCGAGCTGAGTCCTGCCTTGTCCGGCAAGCCAACGCACCGAAAAGACCTGCCATGGGTCAAATGATACGGGCGAAGAACGACAAGCAATGCTTTGGTTCTGTACGCACCGAAGCATCATTTGCCAGACTTCCAGCCACCCACTATCAACCAAGTAGCAATCATGTAGCTCTTGCTGGTTCAAGCAACAGTCGGGATTGCAAACAACACACAATGCAGTGGAGGCTGAGAAAAAAATTCCAGCATCCTTTGCAGTTTTGCATGCAAAGGATGGGGTTATGTGCCTGAGACTGAGTCTTTCAAGCGGAACAAACGAATCACAATACTGGCTTAGGTTGTCTGGGAAGTTGCAATGACTGGTCCCACACAGCAAGCTTGGCGTACTCAAGTGGCACTGCGTGCTCTCCCCATGTATTCCCTAAGCTCACGCATGCACTCAGAGCCAGATCCTAGTTTGTGCTACCTGGTGCACCAAATAATTCTCAAGTCACTGCATCAGGATTGCCTGGCCAAAATGCAGTCTGCATGGAGGCTTTGTGACCTTCAAGACTCCGTCCAGGAAGGAATCAAGAAAGCCATGTGAAAGGAACGCATTCTCAACAAGCGGGACTCCACATGGCCACGACTTTGCTTGCATGAGCCCTGTAAGGGCGGGGCCTAAACGGAGCATGGCGATGTAAGACTCGGGGCGGGGATCCTTGTGTCAGAAATTGAGTGCTTAGCCAGTGCTTGTCAAGCACGTGCCAACGTGACGTGACCAACTCCTGTTTGTGTTTTGAAATTCTGCAAAAGCGCATGACTTTCAAAAAGTGCTGCAAGGCTTTGAGGCTGCAGCTGATGTTGAAAGAAGAACTCCCAACGCGTCGGGATCCAGCCTCACTCTTCAGGGCCCCACCCAATCGGAGAAATATGTGCAGCATCTGAGCGAGAAGAAAAATGCAAGCCGAAGCCTCGGCAAAACTCTTGCGACCTTGAGTGGAGGTGGATTGTTCGTTTCCCTTCAAAGTTGAATGAACGCTTGTCCCCCTTCCGCCAAATCTTCCGCCGAGCGTCCACAGTGACAAGGGGAACCCTCCGCATAGTCTTGCAAACAAAAATAGACTACTGGCTTGTTTGACCAAACCTCGCATCAAACAACCTGCAATCATGACCAAATCGTAGCCACGCCCTCCCTCTCCCCCTCTCCCCCTCTCCCCCTCTCCCCCTCCTCTCCCCCTCTCCCCTCTCCCCCCTCTCCCTCTCCCCCTCTCCCCCCTCTCCCCCTCTCCCCCTCTCCCCCTCTCCCCCTCTCCCCCTCTCCCCCTCTCCCCCCTCTCCCCCTCCTCTCCCCCTCTCCCCCTCTCCCCCTCTCCCCCTCTCCCCCTCTCCCTCCCTCCCTCCCTCCCTCCCTCCCTCTCTCTCTCTTGGTGGTCTTGCGGCATTTCCCAGAGTTTCCCAAAGAAATACCCCCGGGGAACAGCGCGATATTCAGGGGATAGCCTTGCAGTGACTACCATCCGGGCTGCTAAGAAGCATATCCTTGGGCCGTGACCTTCCTATGACACAGCCACTTGAAGGCAAGTGTATCAGCAAATTGTATATCTTAAATCTAAATTTCCCATGTCATCTCGGGGAGACAGACTTTGACCGTAGTTGGAGGTCCCCTGAGGTTCCCTGTGCGTTTGGGGTGTAGTTGAATGACGGGGACGAAGGGCATGTGAGAGCCCAGATCTGTCAATACGGAAACCCTTTTTGGAGGACGGCGTAGTCAGAGGGTAGGGACTGGGGGTGGTTGAGATGGAAAACTCCAAGGATACATTTAAACAGAACAATAGGAGCTGTAGAAGGCAAGCCATGAACTCAAGCCATGAAACCAAGCCGTTGGGGTGCCATTTGGTCGTGACATATCCGCTTGAGTCAGTGCAGTCATCTTCTATGTCCAATCTTCTTCCCGTTTGAGCGCACAAAAAGTAACCAGGGTTCAAGCTGTGGGTGTATTCTTGCAATTTCACCACACGCTCCATTCGAGTCTTCATCTTTCAACTCTCAGTTCTTCACCTGCCGGAAGTAGACTGATCTGGAAATCCTTTACGGTGCAAAAGAAGGCAAACATCTTGATCTTGAGGATCGACACACATTCCTCATCCATTAGCAGTCTTTGTAGGCTTGGAACATGTAGCCAAGGTGGCGTGATAAGGCATGAAGCATGAAGACTTCAAACCGACCAGGTCTGAATGGCGGGACGGATTCTATGCCTGTCATAATCAGGGTCCTTTCTGAATGTTGATTTTCTGGAAACATGGAAGGAATATTTTTCGCCGGCACCACATCTATTGCCGGGATGCTCCAGTAGAACTGTCTTGCCAACATGCATTTAGAACCAGCAGTTGTGTTGGGAGCTGACCATCAAACAATGTAATGGATGATGATGGAATTCGGCACACGTGCGTTGGGCTAAAAGGAACATTGCCAGTGTTGGCGTTTCTGCAGCTCTACTTGTCTGCTGCATTTTAAGATGATATGCCATGGCCTAATGTCAATCACAGCTTTGGCACCCTGCGGATGGCAGCGCAAAGACTGGACATACTCCTCGGCACTCGACCTCAAAAGTGCATCATTTGCAAAACAGTCCGCAATTCCAGCAGGCTATGCTGGACTCCTAAGACAATAGCGGGGACGTGACCATGTTTCTGCTTACTGATCCTGCAGACGGCATGCAACTGGCCGGATTTCCAAAGCTCACTGTCTCAAGCTGATGCTGAAGACATAGCTGCTTCATGTGTCTGTCTGCAACAGCTGAAAGGCAACAGGCCTGTACCTCTGGATGCGCGCATACTCCTGCCACACACCTGTGATACACATGGGTTCACTGGTAGTGAGCTTTGCATGTCAGCTATAGGTTCATCCCAATCACAAGCCTCCGAGAAATGTTGGCGGGACAGCAAGGTGCCCCTGCAAGAATCAGCGAGTTGGAGCTCTCAGCAGAGTGTCAATCACACCGCTTGCCTGAAATCGACATGCCCCAAATGGTGATGCGGATGAGCCTCCACGAACTTGATTGCAAACGTCCACTTGTGGAATGCTACAGCTGCTACATGCTTGCCGAGCGCAAGGCTGCTGTACAAACCCGGAGCAGACTTTCGTTCGTTGACGCAGTTGCGACCTTGGCATGGCCAGCGCGTTGCCTTTTGCTCGAAGCTCGCTACAAGGGGCTAGGTCACGGGGCTATTGCAGTATTGGCTACTACCATTCTGTCACCGTAGGCATGAGTTTGATTTCAAGTTGCAGCGCTGATTTTAAATCTATAGGGTAGACACGGCTCTGACAAAGTTATTGTGGTTAGTATTTTGATCTTGGGGGTAGCTGGCGCTTGGCCACCGGTCGATGCAATGTGAAATGTGTAACCTGACTGAACTTAGGATGGCTTTGGCCTGGATTGGGGCATCAGATTTCGGGCTGGCGAAAGCACTTATTGCGGTTGCTTGGGGGCCTTTCCATATGGGTTTGCGGGCTTGGGGCAGCGTTGGTTTGACGCCGCTGAAGCTGCTTGGGGCACGATTAGAGGACATGGGATGCCGACTGCTTTTTAAAACGAAGGATTGTCAGGTCGTGAAAGCGCGACTTGATGGCTGCTAACAAATGAGCAGTGTTCTATACATCTCAAATCCTTCCGCGAAAGCTTCCGCGGAGCTTGCGCACCATGAAAGGTTCCTTGCGCGGCATAAAGGTTCCTTCCGCCAGAGGTTTGGAAGAGGGAATCGCCTCCGCGTTGCTTCCGCGGATTGAGACATGGGATTGAAGTTCGTTCTCACTTCCGCGCGTGAAGGAAAACTACGATTTCTTGTCTTCGAGCAGTTCCGCGAAG